TAAATCTCCCAAGTTCTGCTTATCCTCTAGCTTCAAGAGTTTCCCAAACCCATGTCTCTGACCATGACAGAGTCCTCAGCGATATGAGGTGTTGACAAGAAGAGGGACATTGTAGGGAGTTTTCATGAGAAAAATCTTTACACATTGTCTTCATTCTGAGATCATGTTCATTGTGTCTTTTTTTTTTTTTTGAGTTAATATGCTTTTATTTATGGACATCAGACTTGGTGTAGTATCTAACACTTGCTGTGAAGTAACATGGGGACAGGAGAGGAATTGCCTGATCCCACCCAGTAATTATTGAAGCTGAATAAGGGGAGCATGGCGGTTCCCTGTGCTGTTCTTTCTACATTGTATACGAATGTTTTCACAGTAAAAAAGTTTTTAAGTGCCTTAATTTTCTGTAATCATAGTGATTGTGGTTGGTAATTCAGGAGAAAAAAACCCGCAGACTTAGCTAGAGTGAAAATTTGGCAGCTCTCATTGCACGTTCGGTTTTCTTTTTTCTCTTTTTTTTTTTGAAATCTTACTGGCTCATGAAAACTGAAAGTTGGAGATGATTATCTGTTATCTCTTACTCTTTGCAAATGCAGTGGAGATTGGAGTTGACTAGTGAGTATGGGAAAGATATTTGTTCATTGGGCTTGTTGCTAGCACGAAGGTTAAGGTCTCAGCAGAGGGCAGGGTTTTCGTATTATATCCATCAAAATCGTTTGCAGCTAGTTAGCTTAGCTGTCCTCCACTCTTCCTGTGTTTCGCACTATCCATATTGCTTCTGCCTTAATGCTGACTCAGCGGAAAATGGTTGGCCTTCCTATTCCACGTCCAGGGAGAAGGGCTGGTGAGACATCGGGAAGAGAGGTGGCTTTATGTGGTGTGCTTTCATCCCACAGATTCTGATGCCCCTTCCGGACAACATGCTTGTAGCTCTGATGATTTAACGGGCCCAAAGCTGGGAAGCACGTGATTTTGAGGGCCCAGCACCCTGCCTGCCCAGCCCGGCCAAGCACCTGACCCCACGCTGCAGGAACAGCACGCCCGAGTTCAGACACCCCAGGTAAGCTTGCTCTTGGTCCAGCAGCCATTGTTCAGTTTGGTGAGCTCTCTTAGATAATTCTCCTTAGGAAAGCTTCTTTTATTTTTTTTCATGTCAAAGAACTTGTGCTTGCTTTTTTTTTTTAATAATGTTTTTACATTTGTGTTCTTTATAGAAATTTTTATAGAAAAAGAAATTTGATCCATACACAGAATTAGGTGCCCCATAACTTTTAAATCTGGGTGGTTTCATCAGAGGTGCTGGAGGGAGTCTTTTCATTGCAGCAGAGTTTTGGGTCCGCCTGATCAGTTGGGTCTCCTGGGTCCAACCGGAGATCACATACCCAAGGGAGTCATCTTTTTTTCTGATGAAAGTGTGTCGTGTAAGGAACCTCTTATCTAATTGTGAGTCAAATAGTCCTTGAGCTTTGGCCAGATGGTTGAGAGGTAGTGGATGAGACGGGAAAGTGGTAGATCCACGTGTAGCAGTCAGGGGTGACAGGGGTTTCTGGGTTGTTACACTGTGGTTCCTCAGCTAGTACTCAGCTCATATCCAGTGTGTGTCTCCCCATTAACCCCACAGGCACCTTTAATGCTGTTCTTATTCCTATTTTATAAAGAATAGGCTCTGGCAGTCACAGTGATTTTTTTTTTTCCCCTGGAGTTTATAGCTATTCCAGGATGGAATAATGCAGGCATTCCAGAGTCTGAGCTGCCACCACGCCCCTGCCTGCTACACCGTCTCAAGCTTCAGGGTCTTGTGTATACTTTTCTGGTCCTGTTACTATCATTTGTCTCCTCTCTCACTTTTAAAAAGATAGTCTGCACAAGCACTATCCGATAACACAAGCCACAGGTATCATTGGGTTTTGCATTGGCCACATTAGAAAATAAAAAGAAGCGGGTGGATGAATTTTATTGAATTTTATGAATTTTATTTAACCCAGTATACATCAAATATGATCATTTCAGGGCTTCTCTGGTGGTCTGGTGGTTAAGAATCAGCCCACTAGTGCAGGGGGCATGGGTTCGGTCTCTGGTCTGGGAAGATCCCCAGTGCTGTAAGAGCAACTAAGCCCATGTGCCACAACTACTGAGCTGGTGCTCCACTGCAACGCGGAGCCCATGCACCACAACTAGAGAAAGTCCGTGGACGACAGCGAAGACACAGAGCAACCATAAATAAATGAATAAAATAAAAAGTACACTTTGGCATATAACCAGCCTTAAAATTACTGAGACATTTTACATGTGCAAACTTCAGTCTTGGAAGTCCACGTGTTTTACACTCCAGCACATCCCAGTTTGGACCAGCCTCCTTTCTTGTGTCTGGTGACCCCTTAAGGCTCATGGCCTTCTTGGTTTTGAAGACTGTGGGTCTGAACACAGGGGTGTCCTTATCTTACTCACCTTGGGAATTCCTTTATTATGTGGATCTGTGTGTGTGACCAGAGTGTCTTGCAAGAATTAGCATTTCCCTGGTTTTGAGCAGATGTTAGGCCCACGTGGTCGCCCTTTGAGGGAAATGACACCAAGCGTGATGTCCAAAGTCACTTGATGGTATTTCTTTCTTTTTATTTAAATTTTATGTATGTATTTTACTTTGCGTTGCTGCATGCTGTCTTTCTCTAATTGCAAAAGTGGGGACGACTCTCTAGTTGCCGAGCACAGGCTTCTTGTTGCAGTGGCTTCTCTTGTTGCGGAGCACAGGCTCTAGGCTTACGGCCTTCAGTTGTTGCAGTGCGTGGGCTTGGTATTAGGTTGGTACAGAAGTAATTGCAGTTTCGGACCGTGAATTTTAAATCATTATAACTAGTCTTAACCACATCTATATTAATCAAAATAGGAACCCTTAAAATCAACACATTTTTGCTGATGAGAAATAAGTTTGTTTATTCCTGTAGCATAAACAATCCTTGCTTCAGGATTCAGTGAACTCTTGGAAAGCATTTTCTGCCTCCTGCTGGTTGTGAAAAGGTCTTCCCTGTAAAAAGTTGTCATGATGCTTTAAGAAGGGTAGTCAGTTGGCGAGGGGTCAGGTGAATGTGGTGGATGAGGTAAAACTTTGTAGCCCAATTCGTTCAACTTTTGAAGCATTGGTTGTGTGACATGTGGTTGGGCATTGTCATGGGGAAGAATTAGGCCCTTTCTGTTGACCAGTGATGGCTGCAGGTGTTGCTGTTTTTGGTGCATCTCATCGATTTTCTGAGCATACTTCTCAGATGTAATGGTTTCCCTGGGATTCAGAAAGCTGTAGTGGATCAGACCTGGCAGCAGACCACAGGTGGCCATGACCTTTTTTTGGTGCAAGTTTTAATTTGGGAAGTGCTTTGGAGCTTTTTCTTGGTCCAGCCACTGAGCTGATGGTTGCTGGCTGTCATAGAAAATCCACTTTCCATCGCACTTCGCAATCCAATCAAGAAATGGTTCATTGTTGTGTAGAATAAGAGAAGATGACACTTCAAAATAACAATTTTTTTGATTTCCAGTCAGCCCACGAGGCACCCCTCTACTGAGCTTTTTCACCTTTCCAGTTTGCTCCAAATGCTGAAACATTGAGCTCTTAGGCAGCTTCTTCTGTAGTTGTGAGAGGTTCAGCTTTGTTGATGGCTCTTAACTGGTCATTGTCACCTTCCGATGGTCAGCCACTGCTCTCCTTATCATCATGGCTCTGTCTTCTTTGCAAAACTTCTTTAACCACCACTGCACTATACATTCATTAGCAGTTCCTGAGCCAAATTCATTGTTGATGTTGCGAATTGTCTCCACTGCTTTACAACCCATTTTGAATGTGAATAAAAAAACTGCTTGATTTTGCTTTTTGTCTAACATTTCCGTAGTCTAAAATAAATATAAAATAAGATTGAGGGCAGTAGGAAAAGGGGACGACAGAGGATGAGATGGTTGGATGGCATCACCGACTCAACGGACATGAGTTTGGGTAAACTCCAGGAGTTGGTAATGGACAGGGAGGCCTGGCGTGCTGCAAGGGGTTGCAAAGAGTCAGGCACGACTGAGCAACTGAACTGAAACAGCAAATAATTTAATTCATTAGCAAAAAACCCAGAAAGCAAGAAATATGCATTAAAATGATGTATAGCACAATCACATTTATGTAAGACTGTATTTCCAGTACCAAACAGCAAAGTGCAGCAGTGCAAAACTGCAGTGACTTTTGCACTAAGCTAATGGTTGCGTCCCACAGGCACAGTAGTTGTGGCACACGGGCTCAGTTGCCCCGAGGAATGTGAGATCTCCCTGGACCAGGGATCAAACCCGCGTCCCCTGCATTGACAAGCACATTCTTCACCACTGGCCCTCTGGGGAAGTCTCTACTCAATGCTACTTCTTGAAGAGATGACATCAAGGGGGTAGTCTGACCTCCTCGGGACCGTGTCTGCCATTTAGTGCTGTTCGTGGAGGCACTCTGTCTTTTTTGAGAGGAAAGGTGTGGATGCTGCTCTGTCTGAGCAGTCTCGTGTCTTCCGCTTGCACTGTAGGGTTGGTGGCCAAGCCAGAGCTGCTTTCATGGTGGGACCGATCCCTAAGGCCCAGGAGGAGATTTTCAGAGAAGGGAACCATCCCTAAGGCCCAAGAGGGGTTGTCAGAGAAGGGACCCATCCCTAAGGCTCATGGGGGGGCATTGTCAGAGAAGGGACCCATCCCTAAGGCCCAGGAGGGGTTATCAGAGAAGGGACCCATCCCTAAGGCGCAGGAGGGGGTTATCAGAGAAGGGACCCATCCCTAAGCAGGAGGGGGTTATCAGAGAAGGGACCCATCCCTAAGGCTCATGGGGGGGCATTGTCAGAGAAGGGACCCATCCCTAAAGCTCAGGAGGGGGTTATCAGAGAAGGGACCCATCCCTAAGGCTCATGGGGGGGGGGGTTGTCAGAGAAGGGATGCTCTGCTCCCGGGGCCCGCTTACCCATTGCTCTGTGTTTTTCCTCGTCCCCCAGTGATGCACCATGCCCATCGTGGACAAGCTGAAGGAAGCCCTCAAGCCTGGCCGCAGGGACTCGGCTGACGATGGGGAACTGGGGAAGCTTCTGGCCGCCTCTGCCAAGAAGGTCCTTCTGCAGAAGCTGGAGTTCGAGCCGGCCAGCAAGAGTTTCTCCTACCAACTGGAGTCACTGAAGAGCAAATACGTGCTGCTGAACCCCAGGACGGAGGGAGCTGGGTGCCACCGGAGCGGAGATGAACCGCCGGCCCGGAGACAGGGTACAGACGCAGAGGGTGGTGCCGAGAGGGCCCAGCCGTGTGCTGACAGGCAGAGGGATGGAATGCTGACTGGTGGTAGGAACAGAAACACAGTGTGGTCAGTTGTGAGTGTCAGGCATGGGACCAGTAGGTTTTAGCCGCAAAAGTAACAGAACAGGGTTGGTCAGAGGGCGAGCTCTGTCTCGAGAGGTTCAGGAACAGGGCTTGGAAACTAGAAGGCGACGTGGGTGGGTCAGCGCCAGGGCCTGCTAACTCCAGCTGTCCTCGAAAGCTCATCCACAGAGGGGCTCCGGGGCTCCAGGCCAAGGCCGTTGGGGAGAGCTGTGGGGCCACAGGCTTCCTCCTGGGCTCCAGAGTGGGGACCCAGGTACCCCCAGACGCCGCCTCCTGAGCGTGCGCCTGTGGAGTGTGCTGGGGCTCAGTCGTCAGGCCCTCCTCTCTCTCGTCCCCCACTCCAGGCAGCGAGCATGCCTACGAGAGCTGCAGCGACGGGGTCCCCGCGCCCCAGAAGGTGCTCTTCCCGGTGGAGCGGCTGTCGCTGCGCTGGGGGCGCGTGTACCGCGTGGGCGCGGGCCTGCACAACCTTGGCAATACCTGCTTCCTGAACTCCACCGTGCAGTGCTTGACCTACACGCCACCCTTGGCCAACTACCTGCTCTCCAAGGAGCACACGCGGGGCTGTGAGTGAGAGCGGGGCTGGGGCCTGCTGTTGCACACGCACGGCTCTGAGCGTGCCTTTGCCGCGGGGCCGCTGTGGGTGCTCAGGACCAGACTTTCTCTTATTTGGACAGACCCGCGTGCTCGTGGTGCTGCCATTTGTAGCCTGGGTCAGATTTAGGAGTCAGGTTCATGCTACATAGTCACTGATAAATCCTAAATTTGAGGTGTGCCGGCTGCAGGATGCACAGTGAAGGAGAATCCAGGTAGAGTAATGGTCTCTAAACTGATCTGAAAATAATCACCTAAACAGAAAAAAGGGCTTTTGGAAAATAACCTCCAAAATACGTACATTCGATTATCACATTTATTATAGTAGCACCATTTTATGTGCATTATAAAATGTTCTCTAAAGTGGAAATTGAATATCGGTAAACTAAAGCTGAAAGAAAAGATAACTTCGCCAAACAGGATAGAACAGAAAGTCTGACTAGCCTTTCAACCATTAACAAAATTAAATCAGTGGTTAACTTTCTTCCCCATGAAGAAAACACCAGGCTGAGACAGTTGACGAGTCAGTTTTATTGAAACTTTTAAGAAAGAGATCATTTCAATGCCTCACAACCTCTTCCAGAGTAAAAGAAAGAGAAACTTCCTAGCTCATTCAGTAAGGTTCTCTTGATTTCAGTAACAAACCAGCACAATTCGAGAAAGAAAAATTACAGTTCCATCTCGTTCGTGAATATATATGTAAAAATTCTAGGTAAAATACCAGCAAATTCAGTAGTCTTGTAAGCACTGTGAGCAGCTTGTGTTCATCCTAGTAACGCAGGGATGGTCTTATGTCAGGCCGTCTCCACGTCTAAGTGTGGAGCGCAGCAGCTGCGGGAACACCCCAGAGGCCGGCCTGCTGGGCTCCATCCTGGTTCTATCGCCCAGTGGCTGTGTGTCCTTGAAAATTACCTGACCTGTCCCTCATCTGTGAAGTAACAATAATACCGCCTTCACTGTCACTGTAAAGCTTAAGTGAGTTACATAACATGCTTAGAATAATCCTTGGTGCACAGTAAGTTCTGCATGAAAGTATTAGTCTCTCAGCCGTGTCCGACTCTTTGTGACCTCATGGCCTGTAGCCTGCCCGGCTCCTCTATCCATGGGATTCTCCAGGCAAGAATACTGGAGCGGATAGCCCATTTCCTTTTCCAGGGGATCTTCCCAACCCAGGGATCAAACCCCAGCCTTCCACATTGCAGGCAGATTCTTGAACGTCTGAGCCACCAGGGGATCCCCAAGTTCTATGTACATGACTGCTAATCTTGCTACCTCAGTTGCTATCACTTTATTAATAGATTAAGAGAGAAAGGTCACTTGAAAATAAATTAAAAAACCTCTTAAGTAAAGTAGCAACAGAAAGATTTTTACTAATGTTTATAAAAGATATCTAGCAAAAACTACAAAAAAGCATTCCAGTTAGGAAAATAGCAGAAGCACATTTTTAAAGTAAGGAGAGAAGCAAGGAGGGCCACTCTGTGCACTTGTGTTTGATGTTTGATGTGCTGGTGCCGGCCAGAGCAGAGACGCAGGAGACGAGGAGGGAGTGATGCTCTCTTTGGTTGAAAATTATGTTCCTGCAGCAGAAGTCATAGGCACATGGGAAGTTTGGAGGAATTCCCTGGCAGTCCAGTGGTTAGGATTCTGAGCTTTCAGTGCTGAGGGCCCAGGTTTGATCTCTGGTTGGATCTGTTTGGGAAGGTCATGCACTATATTTGAGATTACAGTAGCTTGTAGAACGAGAGATGTGCTTCCCTTTGGACCCAAAAGTGTATCTTGTAGGTGTATGCCTTAGAGAAACCCACACCCATGCAGGAGGTGGGTGCAGGACCGTTCACCCCAGCGTTTGTGACTGCAGGAAGTGGGGGGTTGACATGAGTGAGTAGGGGGCTGTGTGGGTGAACTGGGGTCCGGAGGGAGGACTAAAGGGCAGCTTGGCACAGTTGATAGAAAGTGGGCTTAAACGTGCAGCTGCAGTAGGCCGGTGAGTGCCACGTGTGGAGTAGGGTGAATCCATGACTGGGAACAGCGGTGACCCAGTTAGGGTGAGGGTCCCTGCTGCCAGAGGTCAAAGGACGGACAGAGGACGTGGGGAACGGGCGTGTGAGAGGCTGAGATGGGAGTTCAACTGTCACACCAGTGCTTGACTTAAAAATCGCCTAAAGTGGGGTGTTGTCTTTGCTCTTCTCTTTGTATTTAAGATAGTTCGTAATTAGAAGTGTAGCTAGAATCTGCCTGCCAGTGGAGGAGACGGAAGAGACGCAGGTTCAGTTCCTGGGCCAGGAAGATCCTCTGGAGGAAGAAATGGCAACCCACTCCAGTATTCTTGCTGGGAAATCCCATAAACAGATGGGCGGGCTGCAGTCCATGGGGTCACAAAGAGTCAGACACGACTGAACACGCGCACACAGAGATTCGTGTAACACTGTCTAGCCTAACGCCTGGCGGAACAAACAGTTTATCTCCAGCAGGGGGCTCGCCCAGCCTGAGGGGCACCATCTGGCCAGCAGCCAACCGGTCCCGCGTCTACGTGGGTGTCCTCTGGGGCCGCAGAGCCGCAGAGTCGGGACAGGTAGACTGGGGCAGTGGGCGCCTGGGCTCTCCCCAGAGCTGGCTGAGCCCTGATGTCTCCTGGGGGCAGCAGAAGTTCCCATGCTGAAGAGCGAGGGAAGGGGTGTCTGTCGGGAAGCCCGAAATGTTCTCTGCCATTGACCACGTGATACGATTTGCAGGTCAGAGAACACGTTCTAAACCAAGCTTGGCGGCTCACACTCCTTGGGCTGGGTCTCACGGACAGACGGGTTCCTGGGTGCGGCCAGCCTTGCAGGGCGTGGGTGGGCTGGGGGGCTCTGCTCTCTGCCAGCCAGGAGGCTGTGTTGTCGGCTCTCCTGGGAGCTCCTGGGGCCCTACCATGACCGCCTGTCCCCACCCGCAGGTCACCAGGGCAGCTTCTGCATGCTGTGCGTCATGCAGAACCACATCATCCAGGCCTTTGCCAACAGCGGCAACGCCATCAAGCCCGTGTCCTTCATCCGGGACCTGCGAAGTAAGAGTGGCTTCCTCCCAGGGCGGGCGGCATTGCCGGGGGGTGCTGGGGGGTGCTGGGGGGGCGGGATGGGGGCGAGCCTAGAGGCCTCGTGCACAGAGAGGTGCAGACTAAAGCTGGCCCTGGAGCCGGATGGACACGGGGCAGTCCATGGAGCTGGTGATGACCCCTGCCCCGGCCCCTTCCCCCAGGATCCTGTGGGGTCAGCCAGGCCAGGGGCTGTGTGTTTTGGGCGGGGAGGTAGGTGAGGAAGTGCTGTGAGGCCTTTTCTCAGCATCCGAGGAACCAGGGTCCATGTGCCCTGAAAGTCGGGTTTCTCTTTTGCTTGGCAGAGGTGGGCCCTTAGTTTTGTTGCTGTTGTGTATTTACGTATTTATCGGGCTGCACTGAGCCTTGGTTGCTGCTCGCAGGTTTTCTCAAGTTGCGGCGAGTGGGAGCTTCTCTCTAGTTGCGGTGTGTGGGCTTCTCCTTGCAGTGGCTTCTCTTGTTGCTGAGCATGGGCTCTAGGGCCCACGAGCCTCAGCAGTTGGGGCCCGCAGGCTCTAGAGCTCGGGTTCAGTTGTTGCAGCGCATGGGCTTAGTTGCCCATGGTATGTGGGATCTTTCTGGACCAGGGATTGAACCTGTGTCCTCCGCGTTGGCAGGCAGATTTTTAATCACTGGACCACCAGGGAAGCCCGCCCATTGGTGTTTTTGAAGCCTGTGTATGTTGTATTGGGCCGACGTGGTGGTGATCTGCCGTGGTCTGTATTGGCTCCTGGAAAGCCAGCTTAATTAATTAGCGGAGCTCATATCCTTACCGCTGGGCGTCCATTCGTGCTTTCTGTTACGTGCAGAGAGTCTCACTGGGAAGATAACGGCCATCAGGGAGGTGCCTGGGACGCAGGGCGTCCAGCAGGGCTCCATTTCCTCACTGGGGTTTAGTCCTGGGTCTGCTAAGAGATGGCCACAAGACCAGCGGGAATGGGACGTTCAGAGAGAAGGCAGGGGCTCTTCTCTGCTGGCCTGACGCTTCTTCCTTCCCTTCTTAGAGATCGCCCGGCACTTCCGCTTTGGGAACCAGGAGGACGCACACGAGTTTCTGCGGTACACCATTGATGCCATGCAGAAGGCCTGCCTGAGCGGCTGTGCCAAGTACGTGCTCCCCTCCCCCCAAGCTGCCTCTGTGGATGTCTACTACCCTGGGCCCCTGAGCCGTCCAGCAGCGGATCCACCGCTTCCCCGGAAAGGGCCTCTCCTGCTGCGGGTCAGGTGGCGACGTCTGCCCCATCAGCTTGTAGAGGCACATGCTCTAATAGATCTCTCCAAGGACTCCTGATAGCGGTTCTCCCCATTTTTTTAAAACCACCTTGTCATTTCAGTCCCATGGATGGGGCAGTGGGAAGTGTAATGTCTTTAGGAAAGAACTTGAAAGCCTGTGGGAAAACTCAAGGGTAAGGAGATGATGATTTTTGAGGTTCCCTCTCCCCAAATTTGAGAGCGTAGACCAGTGTTCCCTTTTGTGAAACAGCTGCTGTCAAGAATATTTTTTTGTATCATTCTTGGGTTTGTGGGTTCAGTTGAGAGGAAGCAGGCAGGAGGTGCTGCCTGGGTTTGGAATGGAACTGAGAATGGACTCTGAAAGTACGGCTGAGGAGTCACGTCTGGAATGTCCTTCAGGAAGGTTGAGTTGAGCTGTAGCCGTGAGGCTGGGAAACCTCTGTTTCAGCGGGTGAGACTGATGGAGTTGAACCTGACCTGTCTACTGGTGAAGCCGTCTGTTTCGGTGACCTCGCCCTGGCTGGGAAGTGACCCTCCCCTCGGGAACACAAGCTGGCATTGTTTTGCTGGTGTTAGAGGTCCCCTTTCCCTATAATTCCCGGGAGTGTTTCTTGTGTTCTGGTTTATGTATTTGTCGGTGCAGTTCCCTTTCTGGGTGTTGGGCTGTTGGTCTTGCGTCTCAGCTGTCCCCGACACACACACACACACCCTCCACACACACACACACACACCCCCACCCTCCACACACACACACACCCTCCACACACACCCTCCACACACACACACACACACACACACCCTCCACACACACACACACCCTCCCTCCACACACACACACACACCTTCTCCACACACACACACACACACACACCCTCCACACACACACACACACACACACCCTCCACACACACACACACACACACCCTCCACACACATACACACACCCCCCCTCCACACACACACACATCCTCCACACACACACACACCCCCTCCACACACACACACCTTCTCCACACACACACACACCCCCCCTCCACACACACACCTTCTCCACACACACACACACACACCTTCTCCACACACACACACACACCTTCTCCACACACATACACACACACCCCCCTCCACACACACACACACACACACACATCCTCCACACACACACACACACACCCCCTCCACACACACACATACACACACCTTCTCCACACACACACACACACCCCCCCTCCACACACACACACACCCTCCACACACACACACACACCTTCTCCACACACACACCCCCTCCACACACACACACACACCTTCTCCACACACACACCCCCTCCACACACACACACACACACCTTCTCCACACACACACACACCCCCCCTCCACACACACACACACCCTCCACACACACACCTTCTCCACACACACACACACCTTCTCCACACACACACACACACACACACACACCTTCTCCACACACACACACACACCCTCCCCGTGCCCCTCAGTGCCTCCCCCGGGCACCTCAAAGTTCAGTCCTCATTTCTTTTCCCCAATTCAGTGACCTTTCTCTCCTTTTGGTCATGTTACGTTCACAGTGGTCTTCGGTCTCTCCATGCACTTGTTTGGGGTCTTCAGTTCACCTTGGAGTTTTGTCGCTGGCTGTTGCTGCTTCTGCTGCCCCCGGGGGCTGGTTCTCATTTTGTGCTGGAAGCGCCTTAGCTTTCGGATCCTAATGAGGATTTGGCGATTGGCCTGGTTCTTACTTCAGGCGCCCCCTTCTGGCCGCACAGCAAAGTGCACGCCGGAGTCGGTGGCTTTCATTCCAGACTCAGAAGGGGCGTGTGGCCTTGGTGTTTTTTTGTTTCTTGTTTGAGACACTCCTTTTCCCCCTTTGTTCTCCTTACACTGCCTCCCCCGCCCCCCGAGGAGCCTGTCTGCCTTTGCTGCTCCAGGGGCTGCCCCCCAGCCACATCCGGCTGCCAGGACTCCCAGGAGCCTCCCCTTACAGGAGGTGCCGCGCAGGCCTCGGGTCCCCTTGTCCCTCCCGTTTCCTCCTGACGCCCTCGGGCTCGGTGGGACACTCGGAGGCAGTGTCTCGGCTGGCTTCTTGATCTGGCTCTGCTGTCCTGCTTCTGGGTAGTTGAATGTCTGCGCTGTCCCTGCGTCCCGGCTGGGCCGAGAGTTTGTCCCCGTGTGGTCCTCGGGGTTCCTGTCCTGATGGCTCCCTTTGGCCTGGAGGCATCCCACCCAGAGGGTCTGGGTGTGTGTGAGGTTATGTCCTTGCCGGTTTTTGGACCTATGACGTCCCTCCTTTGATGAGTGCTGGTGACAGTAGGTGGCAGTTGATTTTTCGTTTCCTAACCTTGCAGAGCCAGTCTGCTGACCCAGTGTTGGTCCCCCATGTGTACTGGAGCTGTACTCCTTAGCCAGCTGCCCATGTGGGGGCAGCACAGTCATGAACAGTCCCGCGGCTTAGACGGGAGGCTGAGACCAGGGCGCCCTGGCTCGCTCTGCAGGGTCCGCGAAGTAGCCGCCTACGAAGAGAGGAGCAGGGTTAGCAGCACGTATGCAGCCTCCAGAAAGCGCGGTGCCCGGGCGGACTGAGGACAGAGCAGGAGCGGGGGGCACTGAGGTGGGGGTGGCCTGCAGGTCCATCAGGGCTCTTGCTCCCGGTGGAGGTGAAGCCACCTGCTGAGAGGGCAGGAGGGTGTCACGCCGGAGGTGGCTGCTCTGGAGGAGACCTCTGGCAGAGCCGCCGCTGATGCAGGTGATGGCACGGGGCCTGGCGGGGATGCCCACCTGTTTCTCGGCCCCTGTCCTCCACCTGAAGGCCATGGCCTGTCTCCAGGTTGGATCGTCAAACGCAGGCTACAACCCTGGTCCATCAGATTTTTGGAGGCTACCTCCGATCTCGGGGTAAGTGGAGAAACGTCCTGTGTCCCTTCTGGCCGGGGATTAGAGTGTTAACCCAAAACCCTTCGCGTTGGTGCCCAGGCCGACCTGCTAGGCCCCCAAGGCCTCCAGCCTGGTCTGTGCCCTGCAGCCCCGCCTGCAGCCTTCCTGGGAAGGGGTTTGGAGCAAAGTGTCCAGAGCCTGTAGACACGCTGGTGTTGCTTTTCCTCGGACTCCATAGTTAATCAGACGTGGCTGCTGCCCTTGGGGTGGGGGTGAGCGCCCCTGGCCGGGCCAGCCAGGCATCTCAGGGTTTGCCCTCCTCTCTTCCTGAGCACTTCCCGTCCTGGGATCTCAGGGAGCTGGGAGCGTGCCTCCAGTTCTCGGACTTGAAAACCTGGGGGACTTGGGGGTGGTGGCCAAGGGGCCCTGCATCCACCCCACCGTCCCCTTGTTCTCTCGCAGTGAAGTGCTCCATGTGCAAGAGCGTCTCAGACACCTACGACCCCTACTTGGATGTGGCGCTGGAAATCCGGGTACACACCTCATGCTGATTGATGTTCATTTGCGTTAGGACTGGGAGGCCGGAGGGCAGAAAACCCAAAACATGAAAACCAATCAGGGCATGTGATCCAAATAGATCAGGAAAGCTACTTGGAATCCTACATTTTTGTGTATTTCCTGCTAGCCATTTTTCTCTGTGTTCCTTTTTTCTTTTTCCAAGAAGGAAGGGTAAAAAGACAGTTTTGTGCCCTCAGATGTGAATTGCGACCCCACTGAGTGCAGGGCTTGAGCAGGGAGGCCTGAGTGGTGTGGGCAGCTTCCACACAGAGGGCGCACCATTCCGAGCAGCCTTCCTCTGTCCCCGCTCTGAGGCTGCCAGAGCCGAGCTCACCTCAGCCTGAGGTTTGGATCAGACCCGCCGTGGCCGTGATAAACGCCTGGGGCTATGATCCTGATCCAGAGAGAAGGGGTAACAGCCTGGCTCCCCGTTGCCTCTGTGATGGGATGCTCTGACTCCCAGAAGGCGGCAGCGAGCAGGCCAATTCTTACGCAAGTGAAGTGCCGTGATTTGCTGCCTCAGCCTGAAAAAGACCTTACATTTGGCATTTCTGTAGTCAGCCTTTTTCTTCCACTGTTTACTGTACTCCCTGTTTCTGTCCTTCTCAGCAAGCTGCAAACATCGTGCGTGCTCTGGAACTTTTTGTGAAACCAGATGTCCTGAGCGGAGAGAATGCCTATATGTGTGCAAAGTAAGTTTCGGTTTGATTGTGGCCAAAAAGATCAAGCCGGCCAGCAAGGTAAAATACGTCACCTAACCTGACCTGGCTGCCGTCCCCTCCCTCGCCCTCAGAGGTGACCGCCATCTGTATTCTGACTCTCTCTTTGGCCAAGCCTTGTGGCTTGTGGGGTCTCGGTTCCCCGAGCAGGGGTTGAACTCGGGCCACAGCAGCGACAGCGCTGAGTCATAACCACTGGACTGCCAGGGGACTCCTGGCCACCATCCTCATTCTTGAGTGGGATAATATGTCTTAAAACTAAAAGCCTCGAAACAACACAAATGATAGTTGTGGTTGTCCTAGCTGCCACTCGTGTGGCACTTACCCCAGGCTGGTCTCTGTTCTGAGGGGCGCACGTGCGTGTGAGGCAGGACCTGTTGTTACCCCCATTCCACAGGAGGAAAAACTGAGGCCCAGAAGTGGGGTGATTGCATGTGGAGGCCATCCTGCCGCCTCGATGAGCCATGCCCTGCAGCTTCCGTTTTGGACTTAAGTGGTCTTCGGCATTTTTCCACTTCAGCAAACATGACTCTAACCTTCTCTTTAGGGTTGTACAGTCTCTGTGGGTTTGTTACCTTACTTCCAGGTCATTTTTTGGTTTCAGCAGACATGACTCTAACCCTTCTTCTCTTTAGGGTTGTATAGTCTCAGTGTGTGGGTGTGTTACCTAATATCCAGGTCATTAAAAGCCATAATCACTAAAGAAAGTTTCTCTCCCTGTGTTTTTTTAGGTTTATGATTCTGTGCCAGAACCCTGCTTTTTGTCCCTCTCGGTTCACGCCCCTTATTAGCTCTAGAGGCTGTTCACTTTGGCCTCTATCTTCTCCCCCTTCATTTCCTCTTCTTCTGGCTTTGCTTTCGGTGATTTCCTGCCTGCCTGTTTATCTCTTGGCCACATCTGCTTAAATTTGTTTTTTCCTGTGTTAGCCCTGTTATTTTTCCATGCCTCTAACTTAGTCTCCCGGTGGGAAAAGTACTTCGTTTTTGTGTTAGAATCTCCGCCTTTTTTCTAGTCCTTGTCCTGCTGTAGCTTTCCTTTTCTTAAGTGATGTTGATTTGACTTTTAGGGGTGCAGAGGGCACAGTCTCATTCAAGAAGACTCCTTGTTGAAGAGCAGGTCCCAGGAGACTTCCCTGGTCCAGTGGTTAAGAATCCGCCTGCAGGGCAAGGGGCAGGGGTTCCATCCCTGGTCGGGGAACTAAGATTCAAGTCTGAGAGCAGCTAAGCCCTTGTGCCACAGCTAGAGCATCCTTGCACCACAACGGAAGCTCCCACTTGCTGCCACTAAGACCTGAGGCAGCCGAATAAGTAAAAATTAAAAAAAAAAAAAAGCAGGTCCTGATGTTCTGCTACTAACCTTGTGAAGACAGCAGTCCTCAGAGCACAGGCCAATAGCTCTTCCTCTCCCCTTCCTCACAGATGCAAAAAGAAGGTTCCAGCCAGCAAGCGGTTCACCATCCACCGGACGTCCAACGTCCTGACACTCTCGCTCAAGCGCTTTGCCAATTTCAGTGGGGGGAAGATCACCAAGGTGAGCCCTCGAGCCAGTGCCCTGGACCTCATAGTCAGCACTTTTTAAAATTCAGATTCCAGGCTCTGTTTCAGAGAGAGTAGATTCAAGTCTCTGGAAGCCAGGGTCCAGGAGCCTGCATATCTGCAAAAATCCCTAAACGATTGTTAGGCAATCAAGTTCAAGAACGTCTTTTTTTCCCCCAAACTCTGCCTGTGCTTGCGGTGTTCCTGCAGTGGAGGGTCCAGGTGGCCGTAAGAATCAAGGTGACGAACGCCGCGCTCTGTAGCTCCCGTCTCCCGTGTCCCGTTTGTCCCCGAAGCAGGTGCAGCCCTGGCTGTGCTTTGTGGAGCGTAGAGTAAAAGGTTTCTGTGGAGTGGTGGTGCAATAGACGGTGCCTCGTTTCATAAGGGTCTGAAGACCTGTTCTCAGCTGCTAGGGCCTAGCTGTGTGATTTCAGGCAAGGCGCTTGTCTCAGTTTCGGTGTCCTCACTGGTGGTGGTGGGGGCTTGTTTAGGTCAGCATTTCCCAAACTGCTGTTCTGCAGGACAGTAGCATGGTATTCTGAAAGATGTTCTGTGTTCAACTGAGCTTGGGAAATGCCAACCGACGTCAAAATAACTCTTTTCTTTTTTTTTATTATTAATTTTATTTATTTTGGCTGTGCTGAGTCTTGTTGCTGCTTGGGCTTTTCTCTAGTTGCGATGCTCCGATTTCTCGTTGCAGTGGCTTCTCTTGTTGCAGAGCACAGGCTCTAGGGCACCCGGGCTTCACAGGTTGGGGCACGTGGGCTCAGTAGTTGAGCACAGGCTCAGTAGGTGGGGCACGCAGGCTTAGTTGCTCTGTGACATGTGGGATCTTCCTAGAGCAGGGATTGAACCTATGTCCCCTGCATTGGCAGGCAGATTCTTTACCACTGAGCCACCAGGGACGCCCCTAAAACAGTTGTTTTTAATCGCAGGCCTCCTCAGAGCCTTTATTAAGCTGTGTTGCATTTTGAATCTCCCAGGGGAATTTATTATGATTAATAAAAGACCCAATTGTTGAGGGAGTCACTCATTCCTCCGTTTTACTGACACTCGCGTGTTTACATTGCACTACGCCATGCGAGGCTCTAGAAAATCAGGGGGAGATGATCAGTGCTGAATGAGGTCACGTTGCTTCTTCCCAGAGGAGCTCACGTTTCACCATAACACCTCCTGAAACCAGTTTGCTGTTAGAACACAGTTTGAGAGGCACTCGCCTGTGTGATTTCGGCCCTCTGTCCGGCAAGACTAGACTGGGGCTCCTGAGCCTACTGGGTGTGTTTGCCTTTAAGATTTCTGAGACTGTCAATAGATGAGAAAAGACATGTTGGTGAATAGTATGACATTCTGTTGAATTAAAGAAGCCAGACAGAAACAGGTACTGACTATATGAGCCCCAGGGACAGGCAGCAGTAACGCTGGCCATGGGCTCGGAACAGGGGTCCCGGGGTGGGGGCATTCCCTGGGCAGAAAGGGGTTTTCTGGGCCTGTGTCTGTCTCTAGAATGGAGCGTGGGTTGCCATCAGTGGAGGCGGGTCAGAGCTTAGCAAATTGTAAACTCCTCAGAGTTACGTTTTTCGCTCCACGTAAATTGTGCCTCATTTTTGTAAAAAACCTGTGTGAGCACAGGCAGTAATTGCAGTACATTATACCCCTATCGTTCAAGGCTCACTTTCGATAGTATTTTCTTATGAAAGATTGTTCATTCCTGAAATAAACTTTGACGTGACCTTTGTCCTGATCCATTAAAATTTTAACTTGCCGTTGCAATTGCCCATATGGAATCAGCCTGTTTTTCTGAAGCCCTGGGTCCCTGCCTTGTCCCCTGCCCTCCCCTCAAAGCCTTCTGTATGGGGACGGGCAGGAGAACGAACAGCTCTTCTCCTTCTGTATGTGGGACCCAGGTAGCAAGAGAACCAGTCTGGGCGTACGGCCGACACAGGAGACCGCAAATCGCTTGCTGGGACAATAAAGTAAGAGTTTCTCAGAGAAACTCCCTTAAAAAGGATGCATTTTCTGCTTTCTTTTTAAACCACTGACCAGAGGAGGCCCCTGCTTATCACACCACATCGTTCAAGACCCACTGATGGGGAGGGTGAGTTGACCCTTACTCTCAGTGGTGAATTGTAATTGCCTGTTCTTTGGCTCTTCCAACAGGATGTGGGCTACCCAGAGTTCCTGAACATCCGCCCGTACATGTCCCAGAGCAGTGGTGAGCCTGTCATGTACGGGCTGTATGCGGTCCTCGTCCACTCGGGCTACAGCTGCCACGCCGGCCACTACTACTGCTACGTGAAGGTCCGTGGCTCTGGTGTCGGTATCTGGCGGCCTCGGGGGGGTGGTGTGTGTGCTGCCTCCTGGCCGGCGGGTGAGAGGCAGGTTGGCGGTGCCTGTTTGCACAGCTCCAGGTGGGCCCTCATTAAACTCTGGGAAGTGGCCCTGTTTTGTGGTTACGTCCAGGTCCTATTGCTGCTTCTTCATGGAGCACAAAGACATCCTTCTGACCTGTCCCACTCAGTTTGGTCCCACTTTTGAAGGCCTTGCAGTGAGACACAAAGGAGGCTGCTTTTGGTACCCTGTTCTTAGACCCTTGAAGAAGTCTCAGAAGGCCAGATGTTGGTGGGAGAGGCTGTGCCAAGCAGACCTTCCAAAAGACCCTTCAGGAGGGAAAGCTTGCATCTTAGGGGGTTCCAGGAAGGATGGGGGGGCCCAGCACACTTGGGGGTGCATATTCAGAGTTAGCTATTTGGCATTTTTGTGTGAAATCATTGGAAAAGACCTTGATGCTGGGAAAGATTAAGGGCAGGAGGAGAAGAGGGCGACAGAGGATGAGATGGTTGGATAACATCACCAACTTCACGGACATAAGTTTGAACAAACTCCGGGCAATAGTGAAGGACAGGGAAACCTGGCATGCTGCAGTCCTTGAGGTTACCAAGAGTCAGACATGACTAAGCGACTGAATAACAGCATTTGCTAACTCAAACTCAGATATATGTGGCAGTTGAAAAGTTTGTTCCTTCCCTTGTTAAAAGTAAGGATCACAGAAGTGTTGATCATTTGGTTTTCATCCTCACCCTCTGCTGCTTCAGGCAAGCAACGGACAGTGGTACCAGATGAATGACTCCTTGGTCCACGCCAGTAACATCAAGGTGGTTCTGAACCAGCAGGCCTACGTCCTCTTCTACCTGCGGTAACCAATTCCCCACTCCATCCCCTCTCCCCAGAGCCCGCACCTCCACTCTCGCCCTGACCAGCCTCCCTGGCCTTTTCCTGTGTGAAAGTAACCGAGAAATCTGAAGGACGGAAGAGCTGTCCTCCGGCCAGTCATGGGTAATAGAGCGCGGCCACCGGGAAGGATGCTCAGACTGCGTCTGCCTGGCTGCTAAGTCAGAGCCAGAGCCCAAGGGAAGGTCGGAGCGCAGTCCATCTGCCCCACGTGGGGGTGACTTGGCATGTAAATGGGAAGGCTGTCTGGCATTTTACGTTATTGCCCCCGATTAACTGCACTCCGTCTGGGTATTGGCTCGCCCCCACCCCATCCTCTGGGGGGGTGTGGTCGTGGTGGGCAGGGAAGTGGGTCAACAGAGGGTGGAGGCCTAGGGAGGTGCATCTTCCCGGGACTGGTGGTCACCCACCTGGAGGATGAGGACGTGGCAAAGGGTGGTATTCTGCTGCTTCAGGCTGACTTTTTAATAAACTGAGAATCTAGCTTTGGAAGAGCTCTCGAGTGATTTGCTTTCTGCTTATATTGAGTGACCTCCAGAGCTATGTAGTAAGTTCTCGTGGTCTGCCTTTGCTTGGTCCCCACCGCTTTTTTTTTTTTTCTGGCTGTGCCACTTGGCTTGAGGGACTCAGTTCCCGGATCAGGGATTGAACCCAGGCCGTGACTGTGAAAGCCCGGAATCCTAAGCACTGGGCCACCAGGGAACTCCCTGCTTGCCCCCCCCATGAAACTGTAACCTTGACTTTGGTATTCTGATTTCTTCTCACTCACTTTGAGTCAGGCTTCTGCAGCTTCAGTAAGGCATCCCTGTCTCCTTCTGTCCCTTTGACAGGATTCCAGGCTCTAAGAAGAGTCCCGAGGGCTCCATCTCCAGGACGGCCTCCTCCCTTGCCAGCCGCCCCGGCGTGGTTCCGGACCCTGCCCGGAAGAATGTCAGCAATGGGACCGCAGCCTCCCCAGTGACCGGAAAGGTACTTATTTAAGAGTATCGATGGAAACCTCGCTGTCCTTGCGGCCAGTGCCTCTCAGAGTATCATGGAATGCCCCCCTCCGCCCCCCGACCTCTGCACGCTGAGGGGCTTGGCCCAATTGAAGGAGGGCACAGATGGCTGTCCTGCTCTGTTCCATGTTCTTTCTGAAGCAGGTTACGGGGCCGATGCTGGTGAGGAAGAGGGAACAGTGGATAGAAAATGCAAGCCGATGCTGGTGAGGAAGAGGGAACAGTGGATAGAAAATGCAGCTCAGCAGATCAAGACTTAGCTGCCGGCTGCCTTACACAAGTGCAATGACAGGTCCCCCAAGCACACCTTAAGCACCTGGGAAAAATACTTTATCCCCACATTTTAATACTGAAAGTGTGAGTAGTTTGTACCAGGGTTAATTTCCTGATTTTGATAGTTATACTACGGTTGTGTTAAGAGAACGTCCTTCCTTTCTTCTGAGGAATACTTGGTGTTTATGGAGGTAAAAGGATGTCTTTTGTTTAAAATTTACTCAAGTGGTTAGAAAAATATATATGTATATACACATGGATATGTTGATATGTATATGGAAGGAGAGAGCCGGAAACTTAATGTGGTAAAGTGTTAATGATTAAGGAATATCCCTTGAAGTTTTTTTTTGTATGTATTGGAAATTTCCTACTAAGAAAAAGTTAGCTCAGTTTTATTACCGAGATAAGTAGCAATTTCCTTTATTACAACATAATTCATAATTCAAAACTGGAACAGCTGTCTCTGTTGACTGCTTCTGTGATCCCAGTCTGAAGATAAATCCAAACCCAGACTGTCAACGGTCTCCACAGCCTGCAGGGTTTTTAGTCTTTTACGAAAAATCTGTTTCCCTGCCAGTGTTCGAGAAAATAGAAGTTGAAATAGAAACATTGGAATTGACACAGCAGTGATGAGCTGTGACCCAGTTACAAGGGTGATGGTCACTCTGACCAGAGCAGGAAAGCCAGGAGCCTCAGTCACTGCTCAGAGGAACAGCAAGGAGTGCAGGGGTACCTGAGGGTGAGCATGGGTAACCCTGGGTTAGGCTGGGTTAGCAAGGCCACTCCACTGACAGTGTGTGTTTTCATTACGAAAGGAACTTTCCAAATACACTGCAGTTGCCCAGAAGTCATTTTACTTTAAATAACATTGTATGGTCCCAGGAACTTAAACACTCAACGATTGAACAGGTTGTGTAGCACAGTGGGAAGGTGTATTCCCTTTAGGAAGAAGATTAATAAAGAAATCATGATCTAAGTGACTTCAAGTCACTCTGTGGCCTGTGCAAAGGATACGGGTGCTTAATGATTCAAAGTAGTATCAATTTAGCAAACATTTTGGGAATACCTCATTGCTGGTAAGAGGATAGTAAATTCATTGTGGCAATATGCATCCTAATTTATGAAAATATTAATAGCTTAGTCATTCTATTTCTTTAAAAAATGAGTATGGAGTACTAAATACAGGAGAAGATTCAGTTTTTTGATTATTCATTGACAGGTAGTTACTAAGCGTAGGACCTTGACCTGTTGGGAGGGGGAGGTGACTAGTCACGGTGAGTGGCCCTGGTGCAGGCCTTGGGGAGCACCAAGGGTGTGGGTGGTATAGACCCGGGTGTGACGGTGCTGTGGAGAAGGATGGGGCACTTAGCCCCCAGCTGGTCATTTCAAGGCTACCTGGAGCCAGTCTAGTTCCTAAGGTCTTTGCACGGTGAGCTGTCTGCTAGTCAGATGTCACAGACCTGTGTTGAGGGCCCAAGTATGCATGTGCTACGGTGCATGGTTGGAACTGAGGCGCCCATGTCGGCAGAGAAGCCCATAGGGAAGGACACTAGCGTATCAGTCGGGTTATGTTTAGGGGATGGAACTTGGTAAATTTTTTCCCTTTACACTATTTTTGTATTTCTCAAATCCTGATGAAAACGTACTGCTTTCATAGTCAAGATGATTATAGTGATGCACACCCATTTGTGCAGAACTCAGGAACTGCTGAAAAGAAGTAGCGATGCCTGTATCGTGTGCCCGTGTCAATAATTTGTTTGGAGTGGCTCCTCCAAAGCTCCCACCTGCTGCCTCCTTGTGGGGGCTGTCCCCGCTCCCTCTAGCTTTGACCACATCCTCTGCTTTGCTCCTCTCTTAGAGACCAGACCCTGCGACGATGAAAAAGCCACAGACCCCCGAAGAACTTGGGGTGCCCATTGCCAGGAACGGCTCCGTGTTGGGTCTGAAGTCTCCTAATGGATATGCTCTTCCCAAGTCCCCGCTGGGGTCCCCTTCCCCCAGACTCTTCAAGACGCCCACCCACGCGCCAGCCGTTCTGGATGAGCCTGGAAAGAAAGTCAAGAAACCGGCCTCCCTGCAGCACTTCTCCCCTCCACCCAGCGCCAGTGCGCCGGGAGGCAGCAGGAGCGAGGGTCGCAGGCCAGGCTCCTGGGACGGCCGGGCCGCTGTCTCTACCTCACCCCGGGCCCCAGCTGCAGGGACGCCCAGTGGGCTTGGGCTCCAGGCGGGTGACGAGGGCCCCACTCCTAAGGTGGGGGGCTCCAGCCCTGAACACCCCACCAGCAGGCCCCCCCAGGCCCCCCGGAGCAGAGCCGCCCCCCTTGGAGATTCTCAGGGAACCCACTCCACCACTGCCGGCCCTGCCAAGGTGCTGCCGGCCCGACAGGACCCCGAGCCGGAGAAGGCCAAGTGCCCCGTCCCAAGCGGCACCAGCCCTGAGCCAGCCAACGCCATGTCTCCTCCTCCGGCCAAAAAGCTGGCCCTCTCTGCCAAGAAGGTGGGTGTGTGGGAGGCTCGACCCCGAAGGGTGTTGGTAGGAGCCAGGAAGTGGGGTTGCTTTTAGCTTTGGGGAGGGCGGTGAGACAATGGCTGAGGGCGTCCTGCAGTGTTGGAGGGACACGGGAGCTGTCCTGGCGCGGGTGGGGGCAGCAGCAGTGTGATCAGATGAGACTGGGGGCCGATGGGCCTCCATTTCTGTGAATAGATGTCCTAAGGGAGCCTCGGGGATGGGCCCCAGCCAGGAGCTCTGAGCACAGGGGCACACAGGCTGGCCGGCACCTCTGTGTGCAGCTTGATGCACTGTGATGTAATTGTCCTACTGAAGTTTTTGTTTAAACTTCCTTCCTTTTTTCCTTTTTGTTTCTAACCAAAAACACTTCTGATTCTTCTTCTATCATTCCCCCCCTACCCCTCACACTCCCTTTTTTTGTTCTCCTTCTGTCCTCTCATTCTCCCTTCTGGGCTCTTTTTTCTTTTTTTTAATTTTCTTTTTATTTTCCTCCTCACTCACGGCAACCTTTTTTAGACCACCAAGTTTTTATTTATGTCAATAACTGCAGGCCAGCACCCTGCGGAGGGCAACCGGCAATGACCTCCGTCCACCTGCCCTCTCTCCATCCTCTGACCTCACCTACCCCCGGAAACCCACTCACCCCGTCGCCACCACCACCTGGCCTGTCAGTGCAATGCGGTAAGCAGGGCAGCTGCTCCTCCCTGTGGGGCCGGTGCAGAGGTCTGCCCGGTGTCTCCTCTATTCTCCTGCCCAAGGGGCTTCCGCGGGCACAGGCAGCTTGGTCTCTGCGGTCCTGGCTTTTTTTGACTCTGTCTTCATCTCCCGTCCGCCTGTCACGTGCACTTGGTGATGGATGTGTTTGAACTGATTTCCCTGGGGATCCCCAGTGCCGAGACAGGACCCCAAAGTGGAAGGCCGGGGTTGCGGGGGTGGTGGTTGTTTGGACAGGTGCCGTGTGAGCTCAGAGTCCTGTGTTCAGGTTGTGTCTCCTAGCAGCGCTCCGGGGCTTATCTTGGGGCAAGGTGGGGTCTGTCACTCTGGCTCTCAGGGCATTCCCAGTGGGCTCTGGGGGCCGCTGCAGGAGCCATGGCTCCGTGGGGCTTTTCAGCATCTGGGTAGATGCCCCTCTGGAGGCGTGGGCTGTCGCCTCCTAGCCCCCTCTGCACAGGTACGCTTGAGTCCAGTGTTGAGGGCAGAAGGCCCAGAGTTACTGATAAATGGCTGTCTGAGAAGTGAGGCTCTGCCTTTGACAGCTGGGGAGGGAGGGAGGAAAGAAGGAAGGAAGACAAGGCAAAGCCACAAGGTGGTTTGGACGGGTTCAGCATTTACATGGCGCCATTGTGCCCTCTCTGCCCCCCTCATTCAAGGCCCTGCACTCAGGAGCCCGCTATTCCCTTCCCCCAGCCCCCTCCTACTCTCACTGCTGGCACAGGGGTTTTGCACTTGGTAGGTCCTTAAACGTTCACAACATACATTTATTATTTTGTTCTGTGTTTCTTTGACATACATTTTTTTTTTTTAATTCCAAAAAAGGCAGAGTAACGTGTTACAGTAATACAATTTGTATGGCCATCAGGGTTTGTTCTGATTGAGACAGCGATGAGACAGTTCTGTTTAATTAATAACTCTTAGAGGTGGGCATTATTGTCATTCATTCACAGATGAGAAAAATTGTGGCTCAGGGTGGAAAGTTGACTTTTCCATGGTTGCATAGTTGACAGAAGGGTTTCCCAAATGGCTCAGTGGTAAAGAATCCGCCTGCCAATAGGGGACCTGGGTTTAATCCCTGGGTCAGGAAGATACCCTGGAGAAGGAAATGGCAGTCTACTCCAGTATGCCAGCCTGGGAAATCCCATGGACACAGGAATCTGGCGGGCTACAGTCCATGGGATCGCGGAAGAGCCGGACGTGACTTAGTGACTCAACATACACAGAGACACAAGTTAGCAACACACACATTTGACAGGAAAGAGACCCAAGAGTCTCTCACCTGTCCAGTCCTGCCCCTTGCTCATCTTGCTGTATAGCTGGCTGGAAAGTCTGTCTCCCAGATCTTCATAAACCCCAAGTTTCAGAGAAAAATCCTAGGAACGTAATAGCAAAAGACAGGTAGGCTTATACCTGCCTTTCTTGTAAGACTTAACTGCCTGTGCTCAGACACGTGATGCTTTTGGAGGCTGGACGTTTATTGCTTGGTGGAGCTTTCCTCTGAACACATTGGTATTGAAAGTTTAAAACACTGGAGTTTGTGAAAGTACTTTGGACTACCTGGTGACAAGAAACCAAGATATGTAGTGATTTTTATGAACTTTGATCTTGAGGTTTGAATTTGCTTGTTAGCCTATGTTTTCTAACTGCTCTGAAACATGTACATATCTGAGGTTTACCGGGGAAAGTCATTGAAAATCCTTACCTGAGAGGGATGGAGCTGAGGGAGGGCAGGGCGGGAGAACTCGGCCTGTCCTCACTGCCCACCTCTCCCTACAGGGCTGTCTCACCTGCTCCCAGACCCTCCAGCCATCTGAAGCCCCCCTTCGACCCCCGTCCCCCATCACTGTCCAGCAGCCCCCAACCTCTCGGGACATCAGACCCACAGAGCTGCTCGCCCGCCTCTGCACCCCTGCCTCAGGTCAATGGGGCCTTCCGGGCCCCCCCATACCAGCTGCCAGAGGCCAGCGAGCCCCCCCAGAGCCTTGGTAAGAAGAGGAAGAAGACTCGCGTGGAAGGGGGCTGTGTCTCAGAAACCTGCATGGCCGTGGTGGCCCCGCCTGGGAAGAGGAGGAAGAGGAAGAGGAAGCACACGGGGGACGTGAATGCCACACCACCGCAGGACGAGCGGACACCGGGGCCGCCCTGGAGCCCTGAACGCAGGAAAGAAGGCCGGGCGGAGCCATTGGTGGACAGAACGGAGGAAGAGGGCAGACACCAGGCAGGGAGCAGCCAGCGCCTGGAGAACGGCTGGCCCATGGGATGCATGACCGACGGCCCCTACGTGAGCAGCAGGAAGAGGAGGAGAAAGGGACTGGAGAGCTGTGACGGAGGAGACTGCCTCCCCGGGGACCCATCTTGGCACGGGTGAGAGCGAGGAGCCAGGCAGCCCTGCACCTCCACTCACTCACACACAGTCTGTTCCGGGTGGGTCTGTCTGGAAATATAGGCGCCCGGACCTCTGGGGTGTGACTGTGTTGTCCCGGGGTTTGGTGAGTGGAGGCATGTCCCGAATCTGGCCAGTACCATGTGTGCTGGGAGGTCACGTGACCCGGGCTGGGTTGGGCTCCTGTTGTCCAGTTTGTAGGACTTGCCTCAGTGAGGATTAAAAACGCACTCGTGTGCTTTCCTGGGCTGCGGCCGTGGATCGCTGGTGCACTGTCCTGGTCAGGTTAGGGTGGTATCTCCCAGAGCTCTTCTCCAGGGCCAGGCACACGCCAGCAGAGTTCTCGAGGTGTCTGGGCTTCTGTTTGCTCAGAGCTGAGTGTCCGCTCTGACTTCCCAGGAGCTGTGTGCCCTCGGACGTCGTCCAGCCAGAGACCATTGCAACATCACTGAGGAAAAAGAAAAAGAAAAAAAAGAAGCAAGAGCCACGACAGGAAGTAGAAGAGAAGGAGCCTGAGGGCCAGAGGGGCCAGTCTGTTCCTGGGAGCACGCCCCTGCCAGCTGTGAATGGCCAGGCTCCCGGGGGCCCCACAGGTGTGCACGGGGCGGGGAGGGGGCCCTGAGGGTGGGAGCCAGCCTGCCGTGTGTGTCCAGAGGCAGGTGTGGTTCACTGGGGAGCCCTCCGCCCTGGGGGGAGCCGTCTGCCCACTGGCCTTCTCACCTGGTTGATCCTTCAGCCAGATCTACCCCGCAGGAGAAGGCAGGACACAAGTAAATGTCTGCACATTCTGTGAGCCCAGCGTTTCTTCTGGTTCAGGGCTGTTCCCTTCTGAACCTTCCCACTGCAGTGTGACTCCTGGGCCGCCCAGCCTGGTGTTATCCTTTGCCACTTGAACCTGGAGCATTGAGTTCAGAAGCTCACTTCCCTCTGCCTCTGTCAGTTGTGAGCCTGACTGACCATCACGCAGCTTCTTGCTTATGAGGTGCTGTGGGTCTGCCCAGGCTGAGGCCCCCGCCAGGCAGCTCATTTGTGTTTTGTCTTCTGTCTCTCTCTGGCTGGCGGGACTCACTGGGCTCTCCTGGTGGCGTGTTTCTGTTACACGAGGGAGGAGACGGTCCTCAGCTCCTCCGGAAGGGGCCCATATCTCAGGGGATCTGCTGTTGTGTTAGTTCTTTGAGGGTACACTGGCCCCTGGGGATTGACCTGGAGTTTGTACAGGACTCCAGAGAAATGCAGCCATGAATGAACATGGAGTTTTGATAATTACACGGCAAAGCACTAACTGCTAGGCAGTGAGGAGTGGCTGCGGCAGGCGGCCGGAGCATCACTGGAGAGAGGGCTGCAGAGAGTGGCCGTCATCAGGCCACGGCATCGTCTGTGAGCCCGCTGGCCCAGCTGGGGTGCCGGGGCTGCAGGGAGACCCAGTGCCGTGTGCCCGCTCACAGTCCCAAAGTGGGGACGGGCCTTGGTGGCCGAGAGTCGGCTAGAGCTACAGCTGTCCGTGGCTCTGCGTGACCACCGGGCCCGAGCTGTGCTGAGGAGCAGCCAGTGGGGCTGGTGGGAACAGGCTGGGGGTGGACAGTGGACGCCGTCCTGCTCAGAGCACTGAGCCTTAAGGACACAAGGTCACTGCCAAGTTGGCGGCCCAGAGAGGTGAGGTGAGGCTCGTGTTTAGGACGGCGAGTCCATTCTGGCGGTTGGAGGTGGTTGGGGGGCAGGGCAGAGGCCAGGGCCAGCTCAGATGTCTTCTCTAGAACCATGATGAGGGGCAGTCAGTACTGTCTGTGCAGATGTCCTTTCTTGCTGGCCAGGCTCTCTGAGGACAGGGCCGGCAGGCAGGAGCTGCCCCACCAAGCCGCGGTGGCGGTGGAGAGAGGCGCCTCGTCCCTCCAGTTCCCTCCGCTCCATGTTTCTGCTGGTTCTCTACAGGCGAGGAAGAGAAATCGTTAACTCTCTTGCCACAGGCAGGCAGAAAGAGCTTGCTTTTACACATTCTCAGTAATTTGTGATTAGTAAGTTTTGCAGCGCTGTTGTAAATAAAAGGTGTGTGATCCTTTTCTCGGTGATTTAAATGTATGTAAATGTTCCTCTGATTACAGGGCTGAGACCGGCTCCACTTGCATCCTGGGACAGAGAGAGAGAATCCGATGTGGTCCAAGAATTGCTAAAATATTCATCTGATAAAGCTTATGGGAGAAGAGGTACTGTTTTGCGACCTGACTTCTATTTTCCTGCGATTGGGTTATGTAGGAGATAGAGGCCTGAAGCGGGCCTTCTATGTTGAGCCTTGTGCACAGAGATTGCTTGGCTCTGAAGACAGGAAAAGGAATGTGAACGTCAGTTGTACCCTCTCTGGCCTCCACAGCCATTGCGTGCAGGTCAAGGACCCTGCAGTTGGGTTTAGTCTGTGGAAGGATCTGGAACAGCTTCCCCCTGAGGTCTAGGAGCAAGGAGAAGGCGTGTGTGCCTCAGGGTGGGGATGGCTTTGGACAGAAAGGCTCATCCGACTTGTGTGCTGTACGTTCTTATTTAGAACATTATTTTTCTAATTCGGACTTGGAGAAAGAACACAAGGTCTTTGTCTCTCAAATGAGAGCAGGGGTTTTTATAAACTAAATTTTGAGGATTGGTGGCAGAGAGAGTTAACAGTGTTTGCTCACGTGACAGTCATTGACTGTCCTGCAAACCAGAGGCCACGCCGCCCCTCTTCTTTTCTTTCTCTGTGGGTCCACTTTCACCAGAAGGCGGCACTCAAAAATGGTGAATCACTGGGAGTGGACCCTCGTATGTAAACTGCATCCTTGAAGTAAATCGCCAGGGCAGCTGGGAGCCCACCCAGGTCCTGACGCACGTGTCTGCCTTGCAGTTTTGACGTGGGACGGCGAGGTGTCGGCCATCAGTCAGGACGCCATCCAGGACAGCAGGCTGGCCCGCACGGCCAGGGTCATTGACGACTGGGACGAAGAGTTCGACCGAGGGAAGGTGTGACACGTGGTAGACCCGGCGGGGGGACTTGGGTTTTCGGGGAGGTTTGAAGTGGCCGAGGGTGAGTCTGGAGCCTGGCTGCCTGGGAGCCTCGTGGCTGGGTGCATGGTCTCCGTCCCCCAGTTGCTCGTGCTCCGCCATCAGTGAAGTCAGGGTCGTGGGGACACCTCCTGAGGGTCACGTGGAGGACAAATCTGTTTAAATCACACGTTGAGACTTGAGCTGTCATGCAGTAAGCGCTCGGAAGGAGCCACCAGGACCTGGGGGAGGTCTTGATGGGAATTGTGACACTGATTCTTGACGTAGGAGAAGAAAGTGAAAAAGTTCAAGAGAGAGAAGAAGAGAAACTTCAACGCCTTCCAGAAACTTCAGAGTAGACGGAATTTTTGGTCTGTGACTCATCCAGCTAAGGCTTCCAGTCTGAGCTATCGCCGCTGAAAGTGCTGCTGTCAAGATAGGTCAGTTTGTGTGCATGTGTGTGTCGGTGGAGGGGTGTACGCATGTGTGTGGAGTGCGGTGTGTATGGTATGGGGTGTGGTGTGCACGCTCTGCCTCTGAGCTCCCTCTCAGTCATGTGTCGTGGCCTGTGTTGGACGCACACTTCAGGGATGATGGTGGGACCCTCAGGGTCTCTTCTCTCTCCATCAAGAACCATGTTCTCTGCCCCCACAGCCTCCAGAGACACGGCATCCCTCCCCGCTGATGGTCTGTCTGGACTGAAGAGCCACTTGCCGTGGACTCGCTGGCCTCTCAGTGTGGGGACGGCCCACAGAGGCCCTGGGCTTCTGCCCAGGTGAACACGACGTGCACTGTGACAGACCGCGTGGTGACGCAGGGAGCAGGGGCAGCACAGCGATGGGAAGCGGGGTGGGGCCGAGTGCCCTGTGATGCTGGCCAGCAGTGTTCAGCCTGGGGCCGTGGGGGGAGTGGGGAGGACGCGGCCGAGCCTTCCAGGGTGACCGCAAGCTCCAGAGGTGACAGCGTGCGGCCAGTTGCCTTTCTCTGTGGACTGTGCGACACCCACTTCCTCCTGTGGGGGCTCTGTATGCCTTACCAGTCCGCCCTCAGAAAGTCAGAGCCCTAGGCTGGCCCCACGCTGTAGCCTCTCTCTTCTTTTGGAGTTGGGCGGAGGGCAGTGCGTCTCTCCATCTCAAGAAAAAGACTCCCTCTGGAGAGCGGACGGCCAAGCTGGGGCGGGTGGGGGCCAAAAAGATGCGACAACACACCTACTGCTCAGGCTGCTACTGTTCCAAGGTGGCTTTGCTGGACCTCCACGCTCCTGCCCCCAGCCCTTGCAGCTGCAGTAACCCCGGGGTCCTTACCGAGGTGGTGTTCTTGGGGTAGATTCCTCCTTTTATTTTACTACTTGATATAAAACATTTATTTTTGACCAGGCCTGTGGCTTCCATTAGCAATATGTCTCCTTTCCCTAATATGCAAATACTGGCTTCGTTTGCTCAATTTTGTGAGTGCTTTTGAATTGAAGATGATTGTGTAACTGGAGACGATCACTATCCCTTTTTTTTATCCTGTTCAAGCTGTGCCTGCGAACTAGTAATTTAATAAATACGGGAAATCCTCAGTGAGCTGATATTGTTCAGAAAAAAGACCAGTGTCCCAGTGGTAGAAGGTACAGAAGTTAAGTCTGAAGATTATCCCTCAGCACATGTCCTCTTAGGATCACTTGCTGTGGGCATGGCTCAGTGTCTGGCCTGGTCCTGCCCTCCAAGGAGTCTCCTGGGCCTGAGCCCCAGTGCACTCGTCCAGCCCCTGCTTTCTTCCTCACCAAGCTTTGCCCTTTGTTCTGGGACCTGGGGGACCCAGGTGGTGTCGAAAAAGTGTTAAAACATTTTTTATACAGGGAGATAACATTAGTTTTTTCATGTGGGTGGTGGTTTTTGTTTTTCCCGGTTTTGTATTTCTCTCTTAAAAGGTGGGGAGGATAATACCCGGTGACCTGAGCTGGGGCTGCTCTGGCCCCAGCAGATGGGAACTGAGCTCTGCCTGGACTGGCCAGGGAGCCTTTTTCTGGAGGCCTGACTCCTGCATGTCAGCCACGCCTGCTCAGAACTGAGCGGCCCGCCCTGGTGCCCTGTGACTTTGTCATTTGTCATCTCAGGAGGGAAGGCAGGTGCCTCCATGGGCAGGAAGGATTTTCTTCTCCTCATCTGAAGATGGCAACATTCATTCCTGTGTGAACTGTTTCCCCGACCATATTCTTGTTATGTTTTGTTGGTTGGAAAAAGAAAAATTCTGTTGTCTGCTCGCACAGAATTTATCTCCTTTTCTTTCTCTCCCTCTTCTCCAAATCAGTCTCTCCTTTCTCCACTATATAATTACAACACCTTTTTCTGAGGAGAAAACATCACCCGTTTTCTCCCCGGCAGTGATGAGCATTGGCCTGACTCCACAGCATTTATCACTGTTAGGTAGCCGAGTCCTCCAAACTGAGGGAAAGGAGCGGCCCAGAATGTGAGCCCAGATCCTGGCTGCATACACATCAAGGTAAAGAACTGAAGCTTTTAGGGTGACACTTGTTGACTGAGAACATGAGTTTAATTTAACTTTGTGTTTGTGAAGGGGGCACTTCTCCTGGTGGTCCCAGCCCTCTCACTCCCTGCCTCTCCGCCGGGGTCCCTGGTTACACCAAGGCCCCGTGTGTGCAATGAGCCCGCAGCTCATGGCCAGGGACCGAGGGGCCACAGATGTTGCCAAGATCTCACTGTAATAAAATAATGAGTTTTTGTGAGACCTGCCTGTGTCTTTTCCCTCTGGCTTTTAAAAGGCTCCCCCCGCCACCTACTTCAGTCCACTGGACCCATTCACACGCGACGTCAGCCTTGGGTGCTTTCTGTCAACCGTCCGTGAGTGGGAGCCAGGCACTTCGGGCAGTCTGTGGGGGAAAGCTTAGAGCAGGTCTTCATTAGGAATAAAGAGATTTATCTGAATGTCTTAATGTTATACATACACTTACCTGAATTTAAGAAGGCAGGAATCCTTTGAAGTGGCTCCCTGAGCTTTGTTGATGATTTTCAATGAGCATCAGATTGAAACATGGAAACAGTATCATTCCACAGAGGTCTGTTGTTTGAAAATTTTTGTAACCGAATGTTTGGATTTCTGCAGGTAAAGATGAGGGAGACATCATAGGTTTTACCAAACTGAGTTTTTCTGACAGCTGTCAAGGGCGATGCAGGCCTCCAATCTGGGGACACTGCCCCTGCTCCCAGCCTGGCTCGGGCACAATGATGTAGTCAGGTCGCCTTCAGCCTTGGCCTGAGTGGACGTGCCTGGCTACTGCCTCAGCCACATGCTGAAGGCCCTGGTAAGGAAGGCTTGGTTCCTGCATGGACTGGAATTCAGTGGCCCACGTGAACATTGCTGGTCTGGTCAGGCTGGGCCTAACAAGCAGGAAGGTCAGGGTCTGGCTGATCGCACCTGTCCTGGAAGTTGGGGCAAGGCCCGGAAGGGCACGGGGCCCTGCAGAGCCCCCCATGATTGGGAGGTTACAGGCGGCAAGAGCAGCACCAGTGAGTGGGTGACAGTCCAGGGCAGGTTTCTAGTGGGTGGGTTTTGGTACCCAAGCCCCACAGCTCTTCACCCCTTCCTTCCCTTAAGGGATGCCCTCAGACACAGGACTGTGTCTACCCTGGTCACCGTGGGGGTATGGCCAGATGGCTCAAAATGACAGCAAAGTAAGGTGAAGCGAGGCATCAACTGGACCCAAACCAGAGGGGGTGCTCGGCAGGTGGGTGAGAGTTTGGGGTGACTGAGTACAGCTCACAGGCCTGTCCGGCCAGCTGAGCTTGTGTCCAAAGGTTGCACATCACAGGCTGGGTGGCGGCCAGAGTTGCACCACAAATCCGGCACAGGGGTCATATGAGCCAGACCAGAGCTCTATGCATGTTGTGGTTCTGGGTGCGTGGAAGATAAACATGGCCAAGTTTTCCCTGTCAGCCTGTGGTCTCAAGCTCAGAGCTGCCGACTCCAGTGGGAACCAGGAGGAGGCCCAGCTCTACCAGATGTGGCCTCAGAGATGAGGGGAGCCTGTGAACAGATCGTTGGCCTGTGAGCAGTCTCTGGCCAGCCAGGTTCCCTTGACTGACACGGTCCGGTGCCAAAGCGAAAGCCCAGGGTATTTCTTATTTGATAACTTCAGCAGGAACCTCGTCCCTCCAGCCTTTGTGTGTCTTTCAGGCTCTGGTGAGTGCCTGGGCTATTTTCAGCAAGAGAATACAAGGTCTGATTCACCCGAGGCAGACGACTATGTGTGTGCGGGCCAGGGGGTGGGGATGGAGAAGATGGGCAAGGATGACCAGTTGAACAGGCCGGTCAAGAAGTGTTCCTGTCTGGAACTATGACATGGCAGTAACTAGACAGGTGGGGCCACCTGAGTACTTGGAATCGAGAGCAGAGGTAACAAATACGGTGGAAAGTTCAGGGCCGGGGGAAGACCTCTGGCTTGGCAAGTGGAGTGTTAGGACACCGTTGTACCAGAGATACACGTGGGGCTGTGATACAAGCCTGCGATGTTAGCATGCTATCAGAACAGGAAATGGGGAGAACCACAGGTACAAGAAGGATGTGACCACGGAGCTTGGCATCTCCCGACTAAGAAAAAAGCGCAGTTGTCTGAACACCTAGGGAACTAGGCGAGCATCCATTAGAAGCGTGGCCTAACCTCAGGAGTCAGGAGTGAGCAGTGAAAGGCTGGCTGGTGTGATGGAGTGGGAAAGGCCAGGGTGTGAATCCTGCCCAGTCTTGGTAGCATAGATAGCCTCGGTGTAGACAGGACCTGGGTGAAACAAGATTCTGGGAGAAATGAGGTTCTGGGAATCCTCTACCCCTACCAGGGGCCAGCCTGAGGCGTGACACTTGGTGGGAGCTCAGCAACGTGATTCCTTCTTGGCCTTTGGGACCTTGTGGCTAGTCACCTGCACCGGCTCTTTCCCTGTAACCCATACTCACACGTGTTTGATCCCTGGGTTGGGAAGATCGCCTGAAGGAGGGCATGGCAACCCACTCCAGTATTCCTGCCTGGAGAATCCCATGGACAGAGTAGCCTGGCAGACTACAGTCCACGGGGTCGCACAGAGATGGACACAACTGAAACAACTTAGCAGGCATGTACAGGTATGGAGGGGCCCCTGCTGCACACACCCTGCTGGTCCAGCCCCAGGCACGTCCTGCTCCTTCCTTCCCCACTCCCTCAGGACCAACTGGTTCTGCTGGGGAGGACCATCCGGCTACAGAAGCTGGTGACCATGCTGTTAGGCTCTGTCTTTAGACGGCCCTGCTCTCCCATCCCTTCTGCAGTTATCGCATGTTTGTGCCCTCTCAACTGCCTGTGTGCCCCTTACTCTTGCAAATGATTTTCATCCCACTCCAAAGTAAAATAGTGAAACACGAGAAAACCAAAACTGAAACCAGCTGCTTTC